GAAGTCGATTGCCTTAAAGATTTTTTGTTCTCTCTCTCTTCCATTCTCTCTCTGCTCAGTGTGCTCTCAAAGGTTGCCCTGAAACTGGATCTAGGATTCTTGCAAAGCTAGACTAAGAGAGGTTTCAGGTTGCTCATCACTGGAGGAAACAGTTCCCATCCAGTACATATCAAGATCTACCCCGTGATCTATCCCCCTCTTCTACAGATGCTCAAAAAACCCAAGAAGAAAACCCTGAAAAACTGACACTGGCTGGAAAGACTATTTGTCAATCGACCACACAACAACATGTGGAGTTCCTTACAGCTACATAAACTAATTTTGCAGTAAATGAGGCAAAGCAGCCTAGGGACAAAAACAAATGAGAAGCCCGCATCACCAGCCTGTGCAGCCTGTACTGACCTTTCCTTAGTGTGCTGGCTTCACATGTGAGGGACCTCTTATTCTCCAATAGGTTGCATTAAAATGCTCTAGATGCCCATGAAACACAAATCTTACAACTTTGTAGTCAACAAGGTAGAGAGACTTATTTTTACTTACTATTTATTTATTTAGGCCTTTGGGTTTTGTTTGTTTTGTTTTGTTTTCAAGTCAGGGTTTCTCTGTATATCACTGGCTGTTCTGGAACTCACTCTGTAGACCGGGCTGGCCTCGAACTCACAGAGATCTGTCTGCCTCTGCCTCCCAGTTCTGGGATAAAGGTGTGCACTGCCACCACCATGCCTAGCTTAAAGAGGTTTATAAAACAATATTGTCAGTACTGAAGAATATGGCTGTGGAGCCATACACTGGAGTGCAAGCCTTGGCTCTCCCTCTTTCTCCAAGAAGTTGGACAAATTACTCCTCTATGCTTCAACTTCCTTATTTGTAAAAGAAGACTAATAACAAAATTATCCCCCAGAGTTATGCTATGGGAAGAAAATGGAATACTACAGAGAGACAGAACACCATCTGGCTCGAAGATGCTCAACAAGTAAAAGCTGCTACTGTGAGTTGTTATCCATATTGGGTGAAGAAACAGAAAATAAACTAAATGTAAAGACATACACAATTGTCTTCCAGAGGTAAGTATTCTACGTGGATTTCAATTTCATAATAATGTCTCATTTTTTAAAAATTAACTTCATTTGACAGTTAAAAATAATTTTAGGCTGGCAAAATGATAAAATGATTGCCACTAAGCTTGACAACCTAAGTTTGGTCCCTACGATCCACAGACTGGAAGTAGAGAATGGGCCAAGTTGTCCTCTGACCTGCACAAGTGCAAAGCAATGTGTAAAAGACCCTTCTTTCTAAAAAGAAAATACAATTGGATTGTCAAAACTGTAAGAAAGGCAGGAAAACTTGGTGTGAATTCTGATAGCTAAGGGTCCCTCAAAGGAAAGAAAAGCAAATGTCACTACTGTTCATCATTTAAAGTACCATTTTGCTATCTGTGGACTGCATGCTATAAATGCTGTGTGTACAGCAGCTCCTTTGTGATCTTTCATGGCCACCCAGTCTCAGAACAGAATGGGGTAACACACAGAAATAAAACTACATAACACTGCCCCATCACACAAAGCCCAAAGAGTAGAAGCAATTTTAAATGGAAAAGACTGCCTAACTATTTCTAAAAGTGTATTGTATATTATTTTTTAATTTCTTTAACTACAATACAAATAAATACAAATAAAATTAACATATGGAGTATGAGATTTTTGTGGGGTTTTTTAACAGCATTTTCAAGCAAAGCGTGTTTCTGTTGACTCCCCTCCTCCCTCACCCCCATACCCCTGTGTTCCCTTGTACTCTTCCACTTCCACAGCATCTCTTTTCTACTTTACCATCTCATGTGTCCCATTACCCTCCCCCCTTTCAACCCGTCTTCTCCTCCTCCTGGTCTCCTTTCGATTAAAGTATAACTCTTACTGTCAGACATTAAACTCTCTGGAGATTGCTGAATATTTACACACCACTTTCCTGGGAGAAGTTAAAACAACCTAAATACTTTTTTTCTGGTAGCCATTAACTTGCAATAGTGATAAACATCTTAAACACACACACACACACACAATGATCTACAAAAATACAGACTACTCACTATTGTTAGGAAAATAAAAACAAATATTTATACTCAATGTTTTAGCTGGGAAAAATTTAATGTGTCAAAAAAATAAAGAATATTATCACACACACACACACACACACACACAAAACCCAAATCACAAGTGTAAGTTCTCATATTTCTCAATAAAGTGGACAAAGATTTTCCACCTAATTACATACATTTTGTGTTTTTTGAGACAAAGTCTCTCTGTTATGTAGCTTTGGCTGTCCTGGAACTCAATATGTAGACCAGGCTAGCCTGTTACTTATAGAGCTCCACCTGCCTCTGCCTCCTGAGTGCTGAGATTGGGGGTGGTCACTACCACTCTCAGCCTAAATAAAGCCTTTATAAAGAGAGACCCTCAGCTAGGTATCATAGGCCACACCCATAATTCCAAAACCCAGGAGGAGGCAAAAGGCATCATGAGTTTGAGATCAGCAACACAGTGAGTTTCAGGCTAGCCTGGGCTACCATAGCAGGATGGGGGGGGGGGGGGTTGGCTCAAAACAGGGCCTAAAATGAACATAAGAAATCATCTTATTTTTATAGCTATGATTTAAATGTGAGAAAACGTGAAGTTACATTTAATTCAGGCTAACTCTCATAAAGTATGTTCTGTTTTGCAAACAACAAGGTTATTAGTGTTGAGGAAATAGTGTACACTGGAGAAGACACAGGCAAATGTAGAAAGGGAGGATTAAAAATGCAGTATGTACAAAGTATAGAAAACATCTAGAAACAAAATAAACATGACCAATAAGTGCCCCATTGATTAGGGCTAAGCTAGCACAGGGCGGATGGCCTTGAATATAAGTCTCACACAGTGAACTAGGCAGGGAGGGACTGAGAGTAACAGGGATCCCAAGCTCCGAAAATGGTCATTTTTAACTTAAACATCATTATCATTTATTTTTCTAATGTCTACAGAAGAAAAGAAAACTTCCTCTTTCTGGTTGTTCAGTACACACATACACACACACACACACACACACACACACACACACTTTTTTTTTTAATTGAAATTCTCTCAGCACTGTTTGGTTCTATAATACCACCTGTGGTAAAACAAACAAACAAACAAACAAACTTGGCTAGTAGTCTGTTCAGTTGCTAACTAACCAAGGGGGAAAACTAAAGATTTTAACTGCTGTCACTTCAGACAACAGCAAAAGTGACAGGGAAAAAAATGTTCAATAGAATAAACAGAATTTGAAATAACTCTGTACAGATAAAAAGACCTGAAGTGCATTCAAGTCAATTAAATACCATTACTGAAATAGCTGTGCTTAGTTTAAACTATTTAGTAACTACAAGGATGCTCATGTGCTTAACTTGAACATCCAATGCTCACAACAGCCTATTAATTCTGAAATATGATGGCCTCTGCCTTCCTCTAGATTTGTGGTCTATGTCTGTGGGTATCTGTGGATAATGGGTTATGTATCTAGAAAATAAGATAAGTTTGATTGCAACTGCTATAACAAACTCTTTATTATGGGGAAAAGTTTTAAGTTTGCTTTGAATACATGGATGTATTCTTAAAAAGGCCCGGGTTAAGCTTTCTGGTGGAGGAAACTGATGACATGCAGGAAACTTTGTCCTGTCCAATGACCTGATAAGGACTTTAAGTTCCATCCATTTATGCATTCCAGCGCCCAGGAATTGGCTCTTGGAAATTTTACAGCCTAATTCTCCCAGCTCTAAACCTCACACAGGTGGCAGGCTAGGAAAAGTAGTCAAATTAGGGTAAAGAAGAAAACAAGAGACTAGCCAAAATTAATCTACCCATATAATCTGTCCCAAAGGTCACCAAAAGTCTTATTGTGGACATAGTAGTGTCTCCATTCTGAAAAGAGGAAATAAAATACAGTGGCAAGAAAATACAACCAGAACCACATTTCAGGAGGAGAAAAAAAGTTCTCATTCCCCACTCTAGCAGAGCGCCTTAGCTGAGCAACTCATGAGGACACAGTAGATTCTGCCGAAAAGTGTTCGGGATGTCACAGAGCTGCCCTTCCGTGTGAGTGTTCCAACTCCGCTGTTTGAGTCCTCACACCTCTCTCCTCATCTGAAAAAGAAGGTCCTGCCTAAGGCTGCTGTGGTGAGTGGGACTAAGACCTAGAAAGCCATCTCATAAGTGGTAATAAGATGACCTGAAAAGTTCCTTTGAAACTGTCATACTAGATGCCCTCCAGGAATTTCAGGTAAACTTCCAGTGTGGTGGCTCTTTCAAGAGTTCCATTCTCACTTTCCCTAAAGTAAAAAGATCTTGAGTGGTTAAGAAAAAGCAATGGCCAACTAAGTAGAAGCTACCCAGACTCCCCAGAGAGATAAGTAAACGGCAGCTGTCTGAGGACAGGTGCTGTGCTTAACCCAGCTACAAAGTTTCCTAAAGCAAATGATGACTGGAGACTTTGACCTCTCCCCACCGTTCAAGTGACATCCAACACAATTTCTTCTCGAAAATGGCAAGTTCTACACGGAGCTTTCGATCAAGTGCTGTGAGGTAACCTCTCTTTAGTAAGAGACCGGGAGCAACAAAAAGTATGTCAACAGGGAGTGCCCCGCCAAGGGTTCTACTCAACTACAAGGAATTTGAACCTAGAACTTCCCGCGCTGGACGGTGTGAAGATGCTGCAGGTGGAGGCCTGCATGGGGCTTCATGAGGGACCCCGTCCCCACTCCCCAGGCCCCAGAAACTGGAGGAGGCACACTAAAGGGGGTGGCCGGCCTTTCCCGCCGCACTGAGGCGAGGTCGGCGGTCACTCCCCCTCAGGACCAGTGTTGACATCTCCAAGTGTCCTGCCCAGCTTCCCGATCGCTGCTCGGGAGGGGGTAAGGGGAGCCGGGCCGCGCCCCCCGCGCTCCAGCTGGCCCGCGCGCCCCACCCAGCCGGTGCCGCGCGCCTCACCCGGTCGGAGCTGCAGGCCGCCGTCGCGCCGGCTGCACCACAGCGCGCGTTCTCCCTGCTGTAGGATGTAGTGGTCCTTGGCTTGGAAGAGCTCCATGCCGGCCCCACGAGCTCCGGGAGGCTGTGGTCCCCTGGCCCGGGCACAGCAGCAGCCAGCCGGGGAGCGATGCAGGCGTCCTCCTCCACCGCGACCTCGGGGAGAGGCCGGGGACACAAGGCCCGGAGGCGTAGGGAGGGGAAGCACCCCGGGGCCTGACCCGCAGACAGAGATCAGGCTGGGGCGGCCTCGGCCCTAGAGGCCTCTCCCCCTTCCCCCTCAGCTCCTCTACTCAGGCCCCGCCCCCTAACCTGAGGCTCCACCTCCTACAGTTCATCCTGGCTTCACTAGACTCCACCTCCTCCCAGGTTCCTCCCCTTGCCGTGCAATTCCACTTCCTTTAGTTGCGCCCTCCTCCCCTAGGCACCACCCTTGCCCAGGCTCCTCCCCCGACCCGCCGACTCCACCTCCCGTAGTTTGGATCGGGTTCCCCCTAGGCTCCGCCCCTTGGGCTCCTTTCCCTGCCGACTCCGCCTCCCTCTGTAGGTCTCCGAAAGGCGCCTTGGGCCGCCCTGGTCCCGCCCACGGTATGTGGTCCCGCCCCCTCGCCGTCTGCTACTCAAGCCTTTCTTCTTTCAGCTCTCTGCTGATGGTTCAGCCTTGCCTCCTCCCTCGCTGTTTTCTCTCTTCTCTCTCAGTCTCCCTCCTCCACTCCTGACCTCACCCACTGGCCCACCTGTGTCCTAGCCTCATCCTACACATGTGACCTCAGGCAAACCTTGGGCTAGACTAAGTCTGGTTAAACTGGCTGGTCACCATCTGTGCAGCCTCTGGGCCAGAGGCCCATTTGTGGAATTTCCCCTGATGTGCAAACCTTCCTTCCTACCATTAGCTCCTAGAAAAGCCTGGACAAGTGCCCGAATCCACCTGACATTCCTGTCCCTAGGTACATTTCCTCCTAGGATGAGCATAGACAAAAACCAAGCTCAGAAGTACAACCCAACAGGCTGGCTCCTGGACTCCATCCCAAGTGGGCTGTCGGCTGAGCAGAGGCCCCTTCTGTTTTGACGATTCCTATTAGATCCTGGACACCAACAATCATTTCGTAAATGCATATCAGTGGTGATATATCTATCAACATAAAATACACCAGAGTTAACAGGACTGGTGAGGAAACGTACAAGACAGTCTGAGAAGCTTAACTACAAAAAGTCAGTTCAAGAAGTGAAAATAAGAGACATTGATCGGAGACAGTAAAATGACCAGGTGGCCATCTTAATTAGAAAGGATTTGGGGGAAAGACTTCCAGTTCTAGATCCATCTTCCGGTCTTGGGAACCATCTTCAGGTCTGTCTTATGTGATCTTGGGAAGATTTTAGTAACAACTACTGGTTGAATTTGTGACCTTAAATTACATTCTGAGGCTCCCAGTAGTGGGCTATCAGTGAGTCTCCTTCCTCTCCTGTCTTCTTTAATGCCTTAAAAAAAAAAAATCTTTTAAAAAGAGACTAAAGGGGCTGGAGAGACGACTGGGGGAGAGAGGTCAAGAGTACTAGCTGCTTTTGCAGAGGCCTGGGTTCAGTTTCTAATACTCTCAGGGCAGCCATCTGTGATTGGACACCTCTTCTGACCTCTCTGCGACCTCTAGGCCCTGTATGCACGTGGTGTACCAGCACACACACACACACACACACACACACACACACACACATATATATATATATATATATATATATATAAAAGCTTAAATTACTACAAGGGATGTAATATTTTTAACCTTTTGCTCAGATGAAACAGGAAGGAGCTCTCATTACTAATTATTGCAAACCCCACACTGATATCATTGTTGAATTTCCACAGACCAACAAAGGTCTCATGACAATAAGATGTCCTGGGATCTTTTCCCATAAGTTCAGTGCCTGATGGGCTACCCCAGACAACACAACATAAACACCAAAAGGGGTTGTGATTACTCTGCCAAATCTTTATGATGTGAATTGAACAAAGGTAATGACAGTAAAATGTTTCAATAGAAATTTAGGAAAAATAAATCAACTACAAGTTTGTCACTGAATTCGGGCATACATTGGCTTTCCTCAGCAAAGACAAGTGATGGGGGAGATGTCCTTTTGTATGCTGTGAATATATGTTTCTCTTATTGATTGATGAATAAAGCTGTTTCAGCCAATGGAAAGCCAGGATTTAGCCAGGTGGGAAATCCAAACAGGGATAGAGAAAGGTAGTAGGCAGAGTCAAGGAGACACCATGTAGCTGCAGAGGAAGCAAAAGACTCAGATATTACCAGTAAGCCAAGACCATGTAGAGACACACAAAGTAATAGAAATGGGTTAATAATTTAAAGAGAGCTAGCCATTAAGTAGCCTAAGCCATCGGCCAAACAGTTTATAATTAATATAAACCTGTGGGGGGAGGAGGATGGGAGGGGGAGGGGGACTAAGCAGCTGTAAGACTAGGCCCACAGAAATCCCCATCTACAGAGAAGTACTAAGAAAGTTCTATGCAGACAGTATGTTCTGAAAATAATTTCATTATTTATCAAAGAATCACATTAAACAGTCCTGTTTAAAATTGACTAAGCAAGGCATGTGGTGCATGCCTGTAACTCTAAAACTTAGGAAATAAAGGCAAGGCGGATCAAGAAGTTCAGAGCTAACCTAGGTTTTTGAGACCATGTCTCAAAAACATTAGCTTGTTAAAACTTTTCCAAATGTTTTTAGCCAGTGGTTCTAACCCTGCGACTATCTACTAGAATCACCTGAGAAGTTTGTAAAGCATATCAATGCTTAGATCTCAGACCAACTGAAGAATTTAATTAGTGTAGGGCATTGGCATTAGTAGTTTTTCTAAACTCCACCAAATGAGTCTACTGTGCAGTGTTAAGCAGCACTGTTACAAATGAAATTAATTAGAAAACTGCCTGATGGTCTAGTTAAAATATCAATCACTCTTTAATTCCATCCTACGAGGTCGGTTACCTGTAAACTCAGACTTCACCCTCACTAACAGAGAGGGAACCCTGGGGAAAACGATAATCCTGTTATCTACTATTCTCTCCTTCGGTCTCCAAATTCATGCCTGCCCTGAGGCAGGCAGAGCCCTTGCCAGGCAAAGCAGAGTGGAAGGAAAAAGTACTTTGTTTCTGGGGCAGGCCTCAGCAAGTCTCCTGCTGCAGCTGACTTCCCTTTACCCTGCTTTGCACTTGTGAACCTTGATCCTGCAGCATTCCCAACCCCTGGCTGACCTGCCCTGTTCTTGGCCCATGGCTATTTCCAACCTTCATCACTCTTCCAAATTGCTGATTCAAGGTCCTCCTACTCTGACTGTCACCCGGGTTACAAGGGAAAAACGTTTCTGATGTTCTAGTTTTTGAGCAATGATGGTCACTACATGTTGGTTATCTTTTTTCTTTTTTTTTTTTTTTTTAACATGTATGTTTATATTTTATTTATTTATTTTGGTGGTTCTTTTTGTTTGTTTTTTAAGACAGGGTTTCTCTATGTAGTCCTGGTCGTCCTGAAACTCACTCGTAAACCAGGCAGGCAAAGAACTCAAAAGATCCACCTGCTTCTGCCTCTAAAGTGCTAGGACTAAAGGTGTGTGCCACCGCCAACCCAGCTTATTTTGAGTTTTCAAGACAGGGTCTCACTATATGGCCCTAGCTGTCCTAAAACTCAACACCTAGCCCAGCTTGGCCTTGAACTCACAAAGATTCACCTATACCTGCCTCTGCCTCCCTCCAGAGACTGGGATGAAAGGCATGTACCACCACCATGCCCTGCCTTTAATTTTAATTGTAACTGTGTATCTGTGTGTGTTTCCTGGGGTTCATGGCCCAGTGTCCACAGAAGCCAGAAAAGGATGTCATATCCCCTAAAGCTGGAGTACCCTGCAATGTGGGTATTCAGGACCAAACTCATATCCTCTGCAAGAATGATATATGCTCATAAAGGTTGAGCCATCTCTCGCCTGCCATTTTCTTATCTAAAATGACCCTCACTAGAGAGTCCCTGTAGCAGTGAAATCAACAAATGTGTGCAATGCTAAATCCTTTCCAAGTAAAATGGTAAATGACGCAACTCGGCTGAGAATGTTGAGCCTTCGATGTCAGGTCCTTTTGTTTGTTTTGTTTTTGTGGTAAAGAGAATGAAAACCAGGTCTTCTTTACACCTGACAGACCAGCACTCTACACATGAGCTATAAACTAGCTTGTCAATATGAGTTATTATTTGGCTCTGAGGTTTTTGAAGAGCAATTAGTCTTTGGTACCCTGGTGAAATTTGACTTTAGCATCATTTGCTATCTTTTGTCTACACTGGTCTACCCAGGTGCATCTATGAGATCACTCTTATGTCTTCTCTCTCTATGAAAGAAATACCCTAATGGAGATATTGGGTTTTATTTTTGTTATTTGGGTTTTGAGACATTGTCTTACTCTATAGGCCAGACTGCCCTGGAATTCATTGTTCCCCAAGTGCCTCAAAATTGCAGTGATCCTCTGCCTCAGCCTCCTAAATGCTAAGATTACAGGGCTGAGATGCCATACATGGCAGGAAGGTTTTTTGGGGTTTTGTGTGTGTGTGTGTGTGTGTGTGTGTGTGTGTGTGTGTGTGTGTGTGTGTGTGTTTTACAAGTATTTTTCCACCTCATAGGAGGCTCGTTTCTTAGATCAGGGACTGATGATTTCTTTCTTGCTTGCTTGTTTGTTTGAGATGGAAAACTATGTAGCTGTGGCTGGATGAAAATTTGCAGCAATTCTTAACCTTCAAGTGCTGAAGTTATACCTGTATGCCTACTTCAGTAAGCAGTCAGAATGGATTAAGTTTAGGGTTAAGGGCCTAAGACACAGCTTCGGTGGATGATTTGGGATGTTTTCTATTCCCAGAAAAGTTGTCCTCAGCAATGTAGATGGTTATATCTAGTTCAGTGGGGACTGAATCAGGACCAGAAGGGCAGAGACAGGGTGTAGGGGGCAGAGAAAGCCCTGAAATTATTGATATGAGCACAGTCATGTCAAGGACCCCAAAGCCTCAGACCCATGGAGTCTCAGAGGGAGGGCAAAGCCATCCTCCAGTCCAGGTACAAGTGTTTATGTTGTGAATGATTGGCCAGTATAGGATTATTATTGCCCACAGCTTCCTCATCCCAGATGTGTATAGAGCCTGAGACTGCTCTCTTGGAGACCGCCCACTGAGAC